AGTCTGAGGGCTGGTGAGTCTGAGTGTGAGCGAGTCTGAGTGTGAGTTGGTCTGTGTGTGTGGGTGTTTGAGTTTGGGCGAATCTGAATATGAGCGAGTAAGTATACGTGAGTTTAGATATGATCGAATCCCACCAGCCCTTTGAGCGTAGATGGTCTAGGGAATCTCCTCTTCCACACCCCCTTCTTCCCCTTCGGGGAGGGGTTTATCACTGTTCCTTATTAATATACACCCCCTCCCCGAGGCGACCGGGGGCCAACCCGAAACTATGCCGGCACCATGCCGACCCGCCCCTCACCATCCCTATCCAGAAAACTCAAATGGTTTTTGACAGGTACGGCGGGGGTGGTGGCGCGTGGCCTGCTGTGCGCAGGCCCACACAATAATGGGAGCGGTTTTCGACAAGGATGGCAGGGGCAGACATGTTTCCCGATGTGTGCTGTCGCGTGCGCAGGCGCACCTGACGCACTCTGCACGTGCCCCGAACGCGGCGCACCTGGCGCGGCTGGAGTGTGCGGCATTCCTGGCGCACTCGGAGCACGTGGCGCATCTGCCGCACCAGGCGTGCCTGGCACGCTCGGGCCCCAGCGGTGCCTGGCGCGCGTGGCGCCCCTGCCACGCGTGGCGCACCTCGCCCAAGCGTCGCGCACCTGGGGTCGGCTTTGGCTCCCAGTAGCTGTCCATCCAAAGACGACCCCTGAGCATGCTCAGGCTCGGGTGTTATTTATGTGTAGGGAGGGCGGGTGGGAGTGAGCTAGACGGCTTGCGGGCGGGTGGGTAGCTTGACCCCTCCCCCCTCCGCCCTCCCCTGGACCTGGACGGGGCCGGTCGCGAGCGGTCAGGGCGTCAAAACCGGTCTCGGCGAGGAAGCCAAAATCATTGGTTTTACTAGGGTTTGGGCCCCATGTTGGCCTCTTGGGGGGCGACGCTAAAAAAAACCTCTTCTTTGATCGATGGCCTCCAAGATGGCCCTAACAAGCGCCCAGGAGGCCCCAAGATCTCCCAAGATGGCGCCAAGATGGCCCCAAGAGGCCTCCAAGAGGCCCCCAGGAGGCTCCAAGGAGGACCCGAAGCGGCCCCACGAGGCCCCCCCGAGGTACCCAAGACGCCCAAGAGCCCCCAAGGACCGCCAAGAGACCCCGAAGACGTCCCAAGAGGCGACCAAGAAGCGCCCAAGAGATACCTCAAGAGATACCCCAAAAGGCATCCAAGAGACATCTGGCCCTTTGGCTTGCCCTCCTCCTCCTCCTCCTCCTGCTCCTCCTCCTCCTCTTCATCCTATTCATCCTCCTTCTCCCCACTCCCTCATCCAGCCATCCAGCCTCTCCTCCTTCTCCTCCTCCCTCCTTCGCACGGTTCGGCCGTCCCCCTCTTTGCTCCCGCACTTCCCTGATCACCTCAACTCGCCTGGACATCGTTTCTGGATGGGCTGGTGGGGATGCGCGAAGCACCTATATTTGCATATGAGCGAATCTGCATGCGGTGAACGGGTCTGAATGATGAGAGGTGCTGATGTGCAAATCCGCGTGCGAACGACTGTGTCCGAATGGGGAAAAGGAGAAAGAGGTCAGTGAATGAGTGAACCAGGAGCACACAATCACCAAAGAGAAGTCTTGGGGGGGTGGCAGAAACAGGCAAACCGCCTGAAACATCCCCGGACTCCGAGCGCGAATCCTGACGTGCCCCACCCCTGGCGGATCCGCCTTGGGCTGCCCGAGTGCCACGCCTGCTGTATCACGGTGAGCAGTGGACCACAACCAGACAGAAAAGTCTGGCGGGGCAGAGGCAGGCAGACCGTCTGAGACCCCCCAATCTGAGCGCAAATCCTGCAGTGTCCCCACCCCTGGCGGCTCCCCCTGCTGGGGTGCCCAGGTGCCATGCCTGCTGCATCGCCAAAGGAACAAGTCGTGGAGGGCACAAACAGGCAAGCCGCCTGAGACATCATCACAATCTGCTCTGACAGCAAAAGGTGCTGGGCACAAAAAAAAAACGCCTGAGCCAGCCCCGCAATCTGGACGCGAACGGGCCCGTGCGATACCCCCCTGGCGGTTCCCCCCGTTGGAGTGCCGAAAGCAACGCTTCGCATGAGACTTCCTCAGAATATGCTCTGAAAGCAGTAGACATTGGACACCCACACAGGCGAATCGCACGAGACAGCGCCACAATCTGGGCGCGAACGGGCCCGTGCAACATCCCCATGGCGGCTCCCCCTTGGGCGTGCAGCGGCCACCGCCTCGCCCGAGGCATCCTCACGATCTTCGGGAGCGGCCAAGAGGGGGGTGTCCAGGAAGGGGGGTGCAAATCATGACCGGCGGCATGTGCGCGGCCCAGCGGGGGGGCCAGGGACGTAATGAAACAAGAAGAGGCGCCATGAGATCTGAGGAAATATCATGGCCCCCGCCATGATATCCCCCCCCCCGTAGTCCTCACCCTCCTCCTCTTTGCCGCCCCCGAGATCTGCCCCGAGAGCAGAGGACGTCGGGCACCGAGGCAAGCAGGC